ATTCCTCTTAATACCTTCTCCCCTACCTTGCTTTCTGAGGTGTCTTCGGCGAACCAGAAGGTATGTATGAAAGATGTGCATTTTGTATGTGAATGTTGTACCGGTATTCTTATCAGTATATGTCCCTTCCTAAGACATCAAAACTTTGGAGATTCTTTTATCCAATTCTTAAGTTTCATAACCTTTCAGGTCTGTTCGTTTCGCATGGATCTCCATATTCTCTACTTCCTTATATTCCCATACTTGCAGGTCTCTGCATTCCACATGGAACTTCAGATAGTCAAGGAGGAAAAAGTCGGCAGGTTGACAAAACTCATATGTGTTGTTCATGATCAGAGCGGTCGATTCGGGCTGACGGCGCTTGGGTCAACTGGCGACTGGATTTCTTTCATTATGAAAGGAGAGAAGCAGACACCCAGAACTGCTACATCGGAGACATCCATCGTTTTGTGGATAACAGAGCTATACATGAGTGAATGTCAAATCATGACAACCCAAAAGGTTTGTGGTTTAAAGAAAAAAAGGTCTGCTATTCTCTCAAATCTCTTTCCTTTGATCATGTGTCTTATTTCATTTTAAACCGTACAAATAGTAAATATTATTTCTTTGTATGATTTCAGAATATTTGGTTCTCTTTAGGCAATTTCTTATAGCCTATTCAATACTCCATGTTACATTTGACTTATGTCCGCAATCCTCTCAATATTAGTTCCTCCAATTCCTCTATTCTTTATGCCTCAACCTTGACTCCTATCCCTAAACCTCATCTTACATCCTCTAACATTTTTTCCTACACATATTTATGAAAATATATCTTTAGTAGCTGGTTTTGTTGTCATTTATTTCATCTTTACAGGACAAGAGTTATCCAAGTGAAAGATGCAGAGATGGCTGACCGCATCAAGCTTGCAGATACTCCTTATGAACCGACATGCCAAAACGTCGGTCACGTCAAAGCGTAAGTGAGAGTTGGCAAATGATACTCATACGGCTACTTCCTGGTTGCATGCGTGATCGTTTATGCATATACTAGATGCTTTCATAGCACAATATATACCATCAATCAATGATGATAATTTGGTTTCTTTCCTTATCCCAATCCCATCTCCCAACCAAATCCAAAAGTCTGACAGCTGTGGAGGACTATGCTTGGGCAAAAAATGTTGAGGTGACTTTCACTATCACATTGGAGATTCGGGAGGTTTGCACCATGCCCGGCCGATTCTGTAACTGCACTTCACCCGACGGAAGCGCAACTGTATGTGGATTTCCTGTGGTTTTTTACTGCACCGCCAAGAAGTACAAATGCAGCATGCAGTACTTCTCAACAACTTCCAGCGACAACCCCAAGATTGTGGTTGTCTTTGACACACATGGTACGTAGACAATTTCTTGGTATTACTACTTTGAAGTCACTTACACTTATCACTTATGGCATGGTGAGGCTGCTCTTCTTTGTGCAATACCATAAATTCCCCCCTATAATACATCATGTTGCATGCATGTACGTAGCTGGCAAGGATTCTCGCACGGGGGTGCTCGCCACAGTGAGTGTCGAGGTGATCGAGACAATCTTTGGAAGCTCCGGTTTTAAGGACTACATGAATGCGAATGCAGACAAGAAGATGGAAATACTGGCTGCTCTGCACAAACATTAGCGAGCTGAGGTGAGATCCTATTGTTGTACACAAGGTGTGATGCTTTTTATCTGTTTAGATCACCTTCGTCCAAATTCATTTATAGATGAAGCTACATGTAATGCTTTTGCTCGAAATGCCTTATTGCTACTTCATTTTTTTATTTTATTCCCAACCAATATTATTGGTTTACGCTTCGATTGCACCATGGCACTATTGTAATGCATTTGTTTCTTATAACCTAATGCGGATGGGGGTAATGATAGCTGGGGAAGCAATCCAGAGGAAAATCACCTCAATGGAATGCGGGCCAACGAACGTGAGCAGCTTTTTTGTTCAATTATATCTTTGTACTTTCTCAAATCTATACCCATTAAGACCTGTAATTTAAAATTGTTTTTATGAACCCAGGTTGGAAATATGGTAACAAGGAATGCCAACAACAAGCGCATTGCGTCAAGCAATACACCAACTGAGCCTGGAACGCCTATGAAGCACAACAACCGACGTGGCGTTTAAACCGGTAGATATACATACAACCTTTTCTTTTACTATATTCCTTCAATTTCCTTCTGGTGCCCTCCACCAGGCCTTCTGCAGACTATGACGTAGACCAGTTATTCCCTGCAATCATCTCTCATGCCCTCATATTCAATCCTGCCCACATTCTCTTCCCCACATATTCCCTGCAATCATCTCTCATGCCCTCATATTCAATCCTGCCCACATTCCGTGTCCTCATATCCAGTGACCTCATAACTCGTGCCCACATATCCCGTGCGATCATATTCCGAGCCCCCATATCCCATGCCCTCATACCCCGTGCCCTCGTATCATGTAACTCCACTAATCGTGCCCCTAAAACTTGTGCCCTCAAATCGAGTGACTGCATATCATGTGCCCTCATTTTCCCAAGTCCCCGCACGTTCTTTAACCCTGCGTTTTGTCGCGGAAGCATTCGTGTATCATTTCATTGCATTGATTGCATCATTATATACTTGCATGCTGTACGCGGTCGTTTGTACCCAATCGTTTTGTTATGCTGTATTAGTGCTGGAGTGATGCATAGATGCCAAGTGCACCGCATGGATGGCGGTTGTCGTTGTCGGCTTGGAAAGCGTTGCTTCCAAAACGTACATGTCAACCCCACTTGCAGCACGGAAGCATTCGTGTATCATTTCATCGCATTGACTGCATCATTATATGCTTGCATGCCGTACGCGCTCGTTTTGTACTAAAGCGTTTCGTTATGCTGTATCAGTGCTGGAGTGATGCATAGATGCAAAGTGCACTGCGTGGATGGCGGTTGTCGTTGTCGGCTTGGAAAGCGTTGCTTCCAAAATGTACATGTCAACCCCACTTGCAGCACGGAAGCATTCGTGTATCATTTCATCGCATTGACTGCATCATTATATGCTTGCATGCTGTACGCGCTCGTTTTGTACTCAAGTGTTTCGTTATGCTGTACCAATGTTGGAGTGATGCATATATGCCAAGTGCACTGCATAGATGGCGGTTGTCGTTGTGGGTTTGGAAAGCGTCGCTTCCAAAACGTACATGTCAACCCCACTTGCAGCATGGAAGCATTCGTGCATTGCTTTATTGCATTTACAGCATTATTGTTCGTGTGTGTGCAGTTGATGGGTGCTTGGAAAGGTTGATGCACACCTCTTTGATTCTACCGCCGTATTCATCGACGATGGAACCATAGAAATTGTGCACAACCCACCTGAGCAACCATAGACTATTGCACATCGTCCTCATGTCCCATGCCTTCACATCCGCATACACTAAAATTGTATGCCCTCAGATCTTGTGCCTCGTGACTTGCGCCCTCATATCTCATGCCCCTATCTTCCGTGCCCTCGTACTCGTGCCCTCATTTCTCGTGCTCTCATATCCCGTGCCCTCAAAACCCGTGTTCTTATATCTCATGCCTTAACATACCGTGCCCTCACATCTGCGCATTCGTATTACGTGCCGTCATAATATCCAATACCCAGTATCCCGTACCCCCATATCATGTGCCCTCATGTCTCGTGCCCTCCGTTCGCTCGTGTTTCGTGCCATCATATTTCGTGCTCTCATACTGCGTGCACTTATTGCGTTACGTGCCTTCATGGCCTCTTTTCCTCGTATCCCATGCCCCCTTGCGTTCGCTCGCGATCCGTACCCTCGTGCCCTGAGATTCGATGTTGCCAGTATTTTGTGCCCTGATATCCTATGCCACTGTATCCAATGCCACGTAACCCGTATCCCTCATATCCCTTGCGCACACATTCTGACCTTGTACCCTAAACCCTAAACCTCGTATTTCGTCTCGTGCCCTCGTATCCCGTGCACTCACATTCCGCGGCCCTATATCTTGTGCCCTTTAAATCCATCTGCCCCCAAGCTATGTGCCACCATACTCCGTGCCCTCGTTTTCCGTACCCTCATTGCGTGCGTTCGGTGCCCTCATGACCCCTACCTCCACACTCTGTAGCTTCGTATCCCATGTTGTCGCCCACCGTGCCCTCGTATAAAGTCCGCTCCTGTCACAAGCTTGTTGACCGTGTTATTTTGTGTTGTTTTTTATCGTGTTGTTTTCGTATAGAATTGTTTAACTGCCTAAAATAAGAAGTGGGACGAAAGATGCATAACAAGATAACAAAACATTTTAGTTAAATTAAATAAAAAAGGAATAGATAAAACATATTTCGAAAAACGTTTTAGAAAAAAATGTAGAAATCCAATGCAGTACACTATTGGCAAAAAAGATTTTACGGAAGATAACATGCAGAGTAACAAGCAACTATAGTTTTATTAATCAGGAATCGTTGCCAACAATAAAAAACAAGCAACTATAGTTTTATTAATCAAGATTTATCTCATAAAAAAAGAATTAAACAAGAGGCGACGAGATCGTCTTAGGGTTGCGGAGCATTTCATGATGAGACTTTATTATACATAAAATGTTTTATTTCCATCACAAAAAGCATTTAATTTTTATTTCACAAACTTGAAAAAAAAAACCAGCCCGATCGATTGCAATAGGTTGCTCCGCAACCCAAAAAAAAAAAAAAAAAAAAACTGCCGCACGGAAACATGAAACCAAATTTATAAGGTTGCTACGCAACCCAAAAAACCCTGGGTCAGACATTGCAGTTGGCATCAAGGCCTAGGCGAAGGGATGTGGGGAAGGGGGGCGCTGGGGAAGGGGGCAGAGCGAGGGCAGTGGGGCGAGGGGGAGCGGGAAGTGTGCGTTGGGAGGGATGGGACAGACAGAGCCGCCGAGGGATGTGTGTGCGTCAGGGGGCAGAACGGGGGTGGCCGCGCCACTAGCAGCTGCAGCTGCATGTCCTCCTCGCTTCCCCGCATCCCGCGCGCTCGCTCGCTCGCCTCGCTGGAGTACCCGTTGCTCCGCGAATCAAACGCCGATTGGTGGGAGGCGAGGCGAGGCGAGGAGAAAACTCGGCCTGGCTGGCTGGCTGGCACTCGTGAAGTCTGCAATCACGAGCGAGCAGAAACACGTCGCAGGCAGTGCGCTACACGGTACGGCGCGCGCGATGGATTATTGTCGACTTGACAGCAGGCGAGCATGCACGAGGCGAGGGCATGGATGCTCGAGAATGCGGATAAGAGGGCATGCCATAATGCAAAGCAGGGTCGAGGAGTCAAACACTGTCAGACTGCCGCACAGCCGCGAGCGATTAACGCCTTGCTTTCGAAGCAGCATTCCCCGCGAGGCCTCCCGCAGCTCTCGTGCGCGCGCTCACACTTCATGCGGGGTCTCGGCACCTGCCACCCTGTCAGTCGTTCTGACGGCGAGGGAAACGAGTCGGGCGGACAGTCATACAAGGGACGGTGGCGAGGGAGCAGACGTGAGACCGCTTTCATTCACTGAATTTCCCAAGAGCTTGCCGCGATTCACTGACATACCGACAGCGAACAGCCAAGTAGGCCGCCGCACGGCGCTAACGACATGGAGTGCGAGCGGCAGACGACGCGAGGCGACAGCTGGCGAGATCCAAGGCACTCATCGAGCGACGACGATTCGATGCACGACGCCGCGACGAACGACCCCTCAGCCTGCGACGCCGTCGACGGGCCCGCGGGGAACCTTCCGCGGAGCGAGGGAGGGCAGCGGGCGGGCGACGGCAATGGGGGCGCGCGCGAGCGCGAGAACAAGCTCGGATGGAATCCGCGCGGCGGCGGTGCCCCGCGGCCGAGGCGGAGCAAAGGTGCTCAATTTCCGCAAGCCGCCGCGACCGCAGCCGTCGCTGAATGCGTCTCGGGAGCGAACGCCGCCTCGCCGCCACTGCCCCCGCTGGACGCGATGGGCGGCGCGGCGAGCCGGCACGTGCGCGCCGTGGAGGACGCGGCGCTGTGGCACGCGTGCGCGGGGCCGCTGGTGACGGTGCCGGGCGTGGGGTCGCTGGTGGCGTACTTCCCGCAGGGCCACGCGGAGCAGCAGCAGCGCCTCGCGCAGGTACCCGTCGCAGTGGCGTGTGTCACCGAGTGACGTCCGCGCGCGGTGTGCGCCCCGCGTCGCGCGCGCTCCACTGGCGGAGTCTGTCCGTCCTTCCCTTCCCCGCCTTATTTCATGTCCCCCTCCCCCTTCTCCCCCCCACCGTCTGTCACTTCCCGCCCGTCTCTCTTCCCCCCGCAGCGCGATCCGCCGATGCTGGAGGAGTCGGAGTCGCCATCCTACTCCCCTCCGGGGCTGTCGTCGCCGATCGCCATCGCCGTGTCCGACTCGCAGTCGCACTTGCGGTCGCATGACAGCGGCGACGATTCGCCAAGCCCGTCGCACGGCGATAGCGGGTTGAGCCAGTCGCCCAGCCAATCAGAGTCCAGCGGCTGCACTCTCCGCGCGCAAGGCAGTGGTAGTCCCGGCGCGCGTGGCGGAACGGAGGGCGCGCGGGGGATGAGGCAGCAGCAGCTGCCGCCGAGCCACATGTTCTGCAGGCTGACGGCCGTCACGCTTCAGGTGCCGCACCCATGCGCGACGCCACACCCGCGGCATCACTACTACTGCTAGTACTAGCAGCAGATGCTCGCCTAGTGGGTTTGGCCACGATGCCGCACATGCACCACGCTATTTGCCCTTGGCACCTGACCCAATGCTTCTCAAACCCCGTGCCCGTGCCCATGCCCATGCCCGTGCCCATGCCCATGCCCATGCCCATGGCTCTCTCACTCTCTCCTCTTCCCCCCTCCGCTCGCCGCCCCTCTGCCCTGCGCGCAGGCGGACGAGCGCACGCACGAGCTCATGGTGCGCTTCGAGCTGCAGCCCGTCCACGAGGTGAGCAGCGGTGGAGGGAGGTGGGGAGTGGTGGAGGTGAGGGGCAGTGAGGTATTGGAGTGCTGTGATTCGAGCTTCAAGCCAAGCACGGCTTGGCTCTCTCCCTTCTGCCCCAGCGACCGCCGCAGAGAATTCTTCCTGTCAACGTCTCACCTTTCCTCCCCCTCTGTGCGACCCTTTGCAGGCAGAGGCGGCGCGGGTGCAGGCCGCTGCGAGCTATGAGGCGCGCAAGGCGGGCGCGGGGGGGAAGAGAGGACAGGAGCACGGCAGGAGGGGGGAGGAGGGGGAGGGGAAGGAGCAGGAGGCGGAAGAGGGTGAGGAGGAGGGCGGCACGGAGATGGACGGGGCGGTCGAGCAGGTGCCACGTCAGGCGGGGCTGCAGGCGGGGGTGCACACGAACGTGGCGCTGCACGCGCGCCTGCACATGTGCTGCAAGCGCCTCTCCTCGAGCGACGCCGCGCCGCACGGTGGCTTCTTCATCCCGTGCAAGGCCGCCGAGTCGCTCTTCCCCGCCCTCGTGAGCCGCGTCTCTGCTGCTTCTCCACTCTACTCTTGTGCCCTTGTGTGCCTCTGCTGCTCCCCCCTCGCGCCCCTTGCGTCACGCGTGAGCCTGCTCCAGCGTGCCATGCCGCTGCACTTCCTCATCCGCTCACATCTTTCTCCCCTGCACTGTGTGGCTCCGTGGCGTGGCACTACATGGCATGGCATTGCATTGCATGGCATGACACCATTGCAGAACGCCAACGAGGAGGGGCCATGTCAGCAGCTGGTGGCATCTGACGTGTTTGGCCGCGATTGGAACTTCCGCCATGTGTACCGCGGGTCGCCGCGCCGCCACCTGCTCACGGCGGGGTGGAGCGCGCTGTGTGCCTCGTGGGGGCTCGCTGCCTCCGACCGCATCGTCTTCCTCCGGTCAGTGCGCTCCCTGCGCTCACTGTGCCCGGGGCTCCTCCCTGCAATCATCGCCGCATCGCAGGCTTGTGCCGCCCTGTCGCCGCCTCACCCTGCCATGCCCCCCCTCCCTTCCCACCCCCTGCAGGGCGGGCAACGGCGCGCTCAAGGTGGGCACGAGGCGCAGCGAGGCCGTGGTGGCGGCGCAGCAGAGGCGGCAGAGGGAGCGGGAGAGAGAGAGGGGCAGGCTGGCCGTGGATGCTGCGTGCAGCACGGGCACAGTCAACGGGGAGCAGGACAGGGGGGGTGCGGAGGGGTGTGGGTGTGGGGTGGGCAGCGCGGGTGCAGGGACAGCTGCCGCAGGTGCAGCGGCAGCAAGCGGCGGTGGTGGAGCAGTGGAACCAAAGCAAGTGCTGGATTGGGCGGCGCACTGCCATCACGAGAAGAGGCCGTTCTCTGTCGTCTACCACCCCTGGTAACCTCCTCTGCCATGCCGCTCCTCCTGCCCTCGTCCTGCCTTCTCTCCACTCGTCCTCTCCTCTCCCTCTCCTATCCTGGCCTTTTCTCTCCTCGCTCTGCTCACCTCCCACCGTCCATCCCCCTCCCCACCTCACACCGCCCTTCCACTCTCCTCTCCCCTTCGGCCTTTCTTCCCCCGCCACTCTCCCCGCTCATATCTCCTCCCTCGGCCCCCCGCCCTCCCTCCTCCCCCTCCCTCCCCCCAGTCTGGCAGCCACCCCGGCGCCCTTCATCGTGCCGCTGGGGTCGTTCTGTGCCGCGCTGCGCCTCAAGCAGCGCCTGGCGCCGGCCACCGAGGTGCGCATGGCGTTTGAGACAGACGAGCTCGCCGTGCACCGCCTGCGCGGCACCGTCACGGCCGTGCACCGCGCGGTGAGCGGCGTGTGGCCCACGTCGCAGTGGCGGTCGGTGCGCGTGCGCTGGTTCGACTGCGACCCCGCGCTGCCCAAGCCGCCTCTCGTCTCCCCCTGGCACCTCGACGACGCGCTCCCCTCCGCGCCCCCCCGCCCCTCCCCCTCCTCCTCCTTCTCTGCGCCAACCCTCTCCACCGCCACCACCGCCACCACCACCACCTCCTCCTCCTCTCTCACTTCCGCCTCCTGCCCCTTCCCCTCCGCCTCCTCCTCCCCCCGCTCCCCTCCTCCCCCCGCTCCCCCTCCTCCCCCCGCGACTCCCGAGCAGCTCGCCCCAACTTTCCTTCCCCCTCCGCCTCTCCCCCCATCCACCCCTCCCCGTCCGCCCTCATGCCGCCCCCTCCCTCCCCCTCCACGCCCAGGGGCGCCTCTTCCGCCCCGCACTTTCCCCCCACGCCCTTGCGCCTGCCCCCCTCCGCCTCCGCCTCCGCCTCCGCCTCCCCCAGCGCCCCGCGGCGCATCAGCCTGGCGGAGTGGCGGCAGTGGCGCGCGCTGGTGAGGCAGTCGCCCCCCGACCAGCTGCTGCAGCTTAAGCTGCCTGCAAGGGGGATGGGGGTGGAGGGGGAGGGGAAGGGGGGGGAGGGTGGGAGGGACGCAGGGGGTGGGGATGGTGGGATGGGAGGGGAGGAAGGTGGGGTAAGTGAGGGAGGGCGGAAGGGGGGCATGGAAGGATGGAGGGATGTGGTGAGGTTGGACAGCGCGTGGAAGCTGTCAGCACTAGCGGGGGGAAAGGGACCTGCCACGTCAGCAGAGGCTCCTTCAGAAGCCGCAGAGGCATCAGAGGCATCAGAGGCGTCAGCATCAGCATCAGCATCAGCTCGGCTTTCCCCTGCAGCATCCAGCGCTGCAGTTGCATCAGAGAGCCAGCAGCAGCAGCAGCGGGTGCCTGCTGCCCCCCCCCTCTCTCACTCCATCCCCCCAACCATGGCTGCTCCGCTGCGCCCCTCCCACTCCCACTCTCGCCTCCCCTCACTCCCCCTCATACACGCGCCCTCCCCCTCACACTCGGGCATCAGCAGCGGCCACAGTGCTGCCACGCAAGCACATGCGGGTGCCACCATGCCACAACCGCCAGCAGCAGCAGCGGGTGGGCGTGAGAGCAGCAGGGCTGCCACCACCCCTCGACACAGTGGTGGCGTGTTGGCAGCCGCAGGAGCGCCGTCAGGCAGTGGCGTGCGCAAGCGAGTGCGCTTCCAGTGCGGCGTTGACCCGCCTGCGCCTGCTCGGCACCCTGCCATGCACCCCACCCACGAGCACCGCCCTCTGCTGGCCCCCCCTTCTGCTGCCGGGCCCCTCTCCCCTGCTGCTCGCCCCCCCTGCCCCACTCGGCCCGCCAGGCTGTCACTCACCTCCCTGCTCCCATGCACTAGCTGCCACGTGGCTGCTAACTCATCAGGCGAGCGGCCAGCCAAGAAGGCAAGGAGTGCTGCCCGTGATGTGAGGTGGCAGAGTGGTGATGTGGAGGGGCGTGCAGAGGAGGGGGGAGAGGTGGACGGGGAGGAGGACAATGGGGGGTGTGAGGAGCGAGTGGTGTGCGATGAGGGGGAGGCGGACGAGGGACGGAAGGACGAAGAGGAGAGGGAGGAAGATGAGGGGATGGAGGAGGGGAGAAGTGAGGAAGAGGAGGGGAGGGAGGGAGAGGAGGGAAGGCAGGGAGGAGCGGAGGGTGTCACATGCGACAACAGGCATTCTTCATTTGAAGCAGCGGCAGTGTCACTGCTGGTGCTCAAACAGGGCGGCCAGCACTCTGCACCACCACCACCAGCACCACCAGCAGCAGCACCAGCAGCCCTAGCAGCACCAGCAGCACCAACAGCACAGACAGCAATGCAGCAGCCCGCCGTGTCTTCGTGTCTCACCCTCTCGCTCTCTCCCTCCTCCCCACCACCCGCTCATCGCTCCACTGAACCTCTCGCCTCAGGTGCTTCAGGTGCCTCAGATGCCTCAGGTTGGTGCGACCCGCTGGCACTCTCCCTCACCCCCTCTCCCCATCTGCCTCACACGTGGCGCATACAGCAGCAGCAGCAGCAGGGTGGGGCAGGTGGAAACGCAGTGGCACATGGCAGGCATGACGTGGCACAAGGCGTGCATTATGTGGCACGAGGTGTGCATGACGTGGCACGAGGCATGCATGAGGTGGCACAAGACATGGCAACGCACCCTGAAGGAGGAAGCGCGGTGGGGCCACAGGAGGAAGTACCAGAGACGCCAAGGCAGGGGGGCGAGGGCATGAGGGGAGTGGCAATGTACAGCTGTGATGAAGCGATAGGGGAGGGGAGCAGGGAGAGCGAGGCACGTGCATCTGCTGCTGCACTGGGAAGAGCAGCAGCCGGGGAGGCATTGCAGCCCAGTGCCCATGGTGCTGCTTTCGCTCCCGGTGTCGCTACTGGTGCTGCTGTTGGTAAAGCTACTGGTGTTGCTGGTGGTCCAGGTGCTGCTGGTGGGATGCGGCGCATCAAAGTGAGTAATGGGTGCTGGCTTGACGCATGCATGCAGACATCGCGTGCTGCCCACTTTGGGTGTGTGGTGCATGATTGGTGAGCGTAACCTGTCCCAACGATGCTACATGCCGTGCATGGTGCGTGGCACCATCACCATTCCCACATCCCCTTGTGCTGAACTTGTCGTCTCTTCCCCTTGTCTTCCAATCGTCCCTTGCATCTGCCACCTGCGGGTGGAGGGCAGCCCGGTGGGGCGCATGGCGGGTGCGTGGCGCCTGCTGGTTTCCTCAACCCAATCTCAATCCATCCTCCCAACCCCCCACCCTCTCTTTCCTCTTCAGCTGCGCATGGAGGGCAGCCCGGTGGGGCGCACGGTGGATCTGAGTGGGCTGGCCGGCTTCCAATCACTGTACGCCATGTGCGCAGCCATGCTGCAGCTGCCCCTGCAACAGCCGTGCGCCAATGTGGCATCTGAGGTGACTCAAACGCCGCTGTTGGAAATATCTCAAAGGACTTCAGCGTTTCTGAAGTGTAACACTACACTCGAGGAAGATCGCAACGGGTACGCGAGTCAACGGAGGTTACACAAGGGGACGGACAAAGAACGCGAAGGAACTTGAAGGGTCGCAACTGGAGGTTGCGACTGACCGTTACAACAGCGCGGATGGTAACCGAAGCGACAATCGAGTCGCTGTGTGACTCGATAAACCGCTCCTGTAACTGTATTCTACTGTCAAACATGTGTATTTGTCATGTTTGTATAGACTGTGTAGGGTCGCCTCTTAGAGAGTACAACACTTAGGTATATCTTTGTGTACTCTCACTCTATCATACAATTCAATTTCAGTTTGGTATGGTATCACGCGTAGGTAGGATCCCCCCCACCTACCGCTTCCGCTCACCCAGTCGCGACCCCCCCCCCTAGCCCCGTCGCGCCCCTCACTGGGCCCTGTCGCGCTCCTCTCAGGCCCCCCCTAGCACCCCTCTTGGGCCCCGTCTCGCTCCTCCCAGGCCCCGTCGCGCCCCTCCTAGGGCTCTGTAGCGCCCCTCCTGGGCCTCGTCGCGCCCCTCCTGGTTTTCGTAGCGCCCCTCCTGGGCCCCGTAGCACCCCTCCCAGGACCCGTCGCGCCCCTCCCAGGCCCCCTAGCGCCCCTCCTGGGCCCTGTCGCGCTCCTCCCAGGCCCCGTAGCGCTCCTCCTGGGCCCCGTAGCGCCCCTCCTGGGCCTCGTCGCGCTCCTCCCACGCCCTATCGCGCCCCTCCTGGGCTCCGTAGCGCCCCTACTGGGCCCCGTCGCGGCCCTCCTGGGCCCCGTAGCGCCCCTCCTGGGCCCCGTCGCGCCCTCCCTGGGCCTTGTAGCGCCCCTCCCAGGCCCCGTCGCGCCACTCCCAGGCCCCCTAGCGCCCCTCCTGGGCCCCGTAGCGCCCCTCCTGGGCCCCGTCGCGCCCTCCCTGGGCCTTGTAGCGCCCCTCCCTGGCCCCGTCGCGCCCCTCCCAGGCCTCCTAGCGCCCCTCCTGGGCCCCGCCGCGCTCCTCCCAGGCCCCGTAGCGCCCCTCCTGGGCCCCGTAGCGCCCCTCCTGGGCCTCGTCGCGCTCCTCCCAGGCCTCGTCGCGCCCCTCCTGGGCTCCGTAGCGCCCCTACTGGGCCCCGTCGCGCCCCTCGTGGGCCCCTGTAGCGCCTCTCCTGGGCCCCCGTCGTGCCCCTCCTGGGCCCTGTAGCGCCCCTCCTGGGCCGCGTAGTACCCCCCCCCCCCGGTCCCGTCGCCCCTGCCCGACCCCGTCGCCGCCGCCCGGCCCCGTCGCGCCCGCCCGGCGCCGTCGCACCCGCCCGGCCCCGTCGCGCCCGCCCGGCCCCGTCGCAGCCGCCTGGCCCCGTCGCGCCCTGCCCGGCCCCGTCGCAGCCGCCCGGCCCCGTCGCACCCGCCCGGCACCGTCGCACCCTGCCCGGCCCCGTCACAGCCGCCCGGCCCCGTCGCACCCGCCCGGCCCAGTCGCACCCTGCCCGGCCCCGTCGCACCCGCCCGGCCGCCGTCCCGCTCGCCCGGCCCCGTCGCACCGGCCCGGCCCTGCCGCACTCGCCCGGCCCCGTCGCCCCAGCCCGGCCCCGTCGCGCCCGCTCGGCCCCGTCGCTGGTTCCACCGAACGATTCAAAGCTCGATGGGTCGTACGAGGGTTCGATCAACGATACGGAACCGACTACACAGAACATTCACCCCAGTCTCCCGTCACACCTCATTGCGCATCCTACTCGCCGTCGCGGCCACGAAGAAACTACCACTGCGCCAAATCGACGTCGCAAATGCTATCCTGTACACACCTGTGGACGCTGAGATCTTCGTCGAACAACCCCACGGATTCATCGACGACCCCACGAAAGTATGCCAGCTGATAAAATCCCTATACGGGATCAAGCAAGCCCCGCGGCTCTGGCAGCAGCATCTTCACGGTCGCCTCGCAAAAATCGGATTCCTACAGCTGCCGCATGACCAAGGCATGTACCGACTGCAAAAGGGAAAAGAGTATATCCTACTCATCGTTTACGTCGACGACCTGCTCTACATCGGTTCCACCACCGACATCGCCACCTGGTTCGAAGGGGAGCTGAAAGAAGACGCTCACGGTATCCGACGCAGTGACCCAGTACCTGGGACTGAATGTCGTCGAAGACAACTCGGCGTTCTACCTACACGCTGGAAAGTACGCAGGCACCGTCGCGAAGAAATTCGGTCTAACACCGACTACGATCCCAACTCCCTACCGCTACGGGAACAACAACAGCACCTCCGCAAAACTCCCCGCGAAGCAAATCCAGGAGTATCAACAGAAACTCGGCTGCCTACTATTCGCAGCAGTAACCTGCCGACCCGATCTCTCCTACAGCGCGAGCCAACTGGCGACGCATCTGAAGCAGCCGGAACAAGAAGATCTCGAGGAGCTTAACCGGGCACTACTCTACTTCGTCTCCACGCCGACGACCGGACTTACCTACAGCAAAGTAACCACACCGTCCGTACGACTGCTCGGATACGTCGACGCCGACCACGCGGGAGACAAGGAAAATCGACGATCGAGAACGGGCTACATCTACCGACTAGAACCTATCGGGACTATTTCATGGCAGTCAAGCAAGCAGGAACTAATCGCACTATCTTCGGCTGAAGCAGAATATATCGCCCTATGTACTGCGACCAAGGAAGGACTCTACCTACGAGAGTTGCTAGAGGAAGCGAAGATTGCGACCCTGCCCGCCTTCTCACTCCTCTGCGACAACCAATCTGCGATCAAAATCGCAAACAAGGACGGCTTCGCTTACCGAACCAAACACATCGCCCTGCGGTACTTCTTCGTCAAGGATGAAATCGCGAAGGGGAGACTTCAACTCAGTTACCGTAATCCCCCGTATAAAGCACCCTATGGTGTTAATAAAAATGCAGCAAAATTTTGGGTTGGGTGTAATTAAAGGCAAAAAAAATATAACACCCAAGAGTTATGGAATGTGCATATGGTTTTTATAATTGGAATTCAAGTGTGCTTGTTTCACCACATTCATTTGAGTCAGATACCCACTTTTGGTCATCTCATTGCATACTGGACGATATTCCCGATCTGCATGCCACATTGGCAGTGAGCATGTAGTGTCAGAGAGGATGCTGTCAGAACAACCAATGAGCACACGTTTAATTTGGCGGGACGCGCGAAAGTCGAGTACAGTCTCAAACTTTCGGATTTGTTTTCGTCGATTTTTTTTTTCGTTCGGGCAGATTCGTCTCCTACCTAAGAGTGTAGCCTCTTCCCAGGGAACCTTCCCAGGCTCGCGAGCTACAGTGTCGCGAATTCTGACGCGAAATGTTTTAGTGCTGTTCCATAAGGTGCAACGGCAGGTTCAGCCTGCCGAGATTCATGGGCATGTTTCAAAACCTTTGTTCAGGCGACATTGTTTCCGACACGCGGGAATCTGTACAGTAAATTTTCGGCGCGAGCAATTTTTTTTTTGCGATTGAGCCGCGGAACGACGCAACACGAAATTCTGGCGTTTCCTGCTAGAAATGGAGATTCTAGTGGCAGGGGGGTGTTCAAATGTTTTCACGTCCGAGAGTAGGGTGTTGTGTATATCCAGAAAAATTAAACACCCATACCCGCTCAAGCTACCCGGGGGAGCTTAATTCCGGCGGGTGTTTTATACGGGGGATTACGGGTACTGCCCTACGACAGAAATGGCCGCAGACTATCTGACGAAGAAATTGGCGAAGGCGAAGTTCGATTACTGCATGCTGCTGACCGGGCAGACAAACGTCACCGGTGTCAACTTATACATATTATCTATGTAGAAGTTATAGGCTAGACTGAGGTATGCTTCTAGTGAGTACAACAAACTAGTATTTGTTCTAGGTTTCCACTTCTAGTCATCATTCATTCTCACTTTAACATGGTATCACGCGTAGGTTAGCATCCCCCACCTACCGCTTCCGCCCGTACCCTAGCTAGGCCACGTCGCGCCTCCTAGCCCCGTCGCGCCTCCTAGCCACGTCGCCCCCTCCTGGGCCACGTCGCGCCACCCTAGCCCCGTCGCGCCACCCTAGCCCTGTCGCGCCCCTCCTGGGCCCCGTCGCGCCTCCTAGCCCCGTCGCGCCCCTCTGGGCCCTGTCGCGCCACCCTAGCCCTGGCGCGCCACCCTAGCCCCGTCGCGCCCCTCCTGGGCCCCGTCGCGCCTCCTAGCCCCGTCGCGCCCCTCCTAGGCCCCGTCGCGCCACCCTAGCCCCGTCGCGCCACCCTAGCCCCGTCGCGCCCTGCCTGGCCTCGTCGCGCCCGCCCGGCCTCGTCGCGCCCTGCCTGGCTCCGTCGCGCCCGCCTGGCCCCGTCGCGCCCTGCCTGGTCCCGCCGCACCCTGCCTCGCCCCGTCGCGCCCGCTCGGCCCCGTCGCGCCCTGCCTGGCTCCGTCGCGCCCGCCTGGCCCCGTCGCGCCCTGCCGGGCCCCGTCGCGCCCTGCCTGGCTCCGTCGCGCCCGCCTGGCCCCGTCGCGCCCTGCCTAGCCCCGTCGCGCCCTGCCTGGCCCCGTCGCGCCCTGCCTGGCCCCGTCGCGCCCTGCCTGGCCCCGTCGCGCCCTGCCTGGCCCCGTCGCGCCTGCCTGGCCCCGCCACGCCTCCTGGCCCTCCGCGCCTGCCTGGCCCCGCCGCGCCTCCCTGGCCCCGCCGCCTGCCTGGCCCTGCCGCGCCTCCCGGCCCCGCCGCGCCTCCTGGCCCGTCGCGCCTGCCTGGCCCGCCGCGCCTGCCTGGTCCCGCGCGCCTGCCTGGCCCTGCCGCGCCTGCCTGGCCCCGCCGCGCCTGCCTGGCCCGCCGCGCCTGCCTGGCCCCGCCGCCCTGCCTGGCCCGCCGCGCCTGCCTGGCCCCGCCAGCACCTGCCTGGCCCCACCGCACCTGCCTGGCCCCTTCGCCCCGGCTCGTCCTGCCGTGCCGCCTCGGGCTCCGTCTCCTCTGCTCGCCCGTGCTGAGGCGCTTCGCGGCCGCCGTGCTGGAGGGGGCTGTCACTGTGTTCCTGCGTCGCTGTGTCCCTGTGGAGCTGTGCCGCTGACCCTGCACGATGGCGGACTTCGTGCTCCGACTGGACGCCGAGGGCCATGCGGTTGACTTCGCCGCCTGGCTCTCCGATCTCCGCCGCCACCTTACAGGTCAGCGCCAGGATGGCCACTCTTTGGTTGTCCATGTCGACGGCTTGCTCCCCCGCCCCCCGCACCTGCTCCCCTCCCTGCTGATCCCTCATCTGATGACCGTGAGACCTTCTCTACTGTTGCGCTTGCCCGTGCGGTCTGGGACTCCCGCGATGCAGTCGCTCAGGTTGCCATTAGCCACGCCCTCCCTGTCTCTGAGCGCTCGCGTTTTGCTACTATTGAGACGGCCAAAGCCTACTTAGACGCTGTTATTGCCCGCTATTCCACACCCGCGTCTGCTTCTGCTGGTCGCCTGCTCTTCCCTATGCTTTTCCCAGACCTTGCAGCTCTCCCTACCGTCGCAGACTTTGCCACTCACCTGCGTGCCCTAGAGACCCGCTATCGCACTGCCAGCACTGCCGCCCAGCTCACTGCGCTCCCCCCCCCTTTCTACATGACGCTCTATTTTATCGCCATGCGCCTGCCAGACCGCCTCGCTAGTGCTCGCGATCACTTTCTTAGCCAGCACCCGGGTGACCTCACTCTCACTGCCTTTGTCGACACCCTTACCGAGATCGAGACTCGCCAGCGCACTATCGCTCAGTCGAGCGGTGCGCCGGCAGTTTCTATCTTTCACGGTTGTGCCCCCTCCCAGTGTGCGTTCACTGACGTTTCGGCTGCGGTCGCCTCGGCGGCCCCTCTCACCGAGACGGCTGGTGCGGTCCACCCGCAGCAGCGCTCGCGCCGCGGTGGCCGTGGTCGCCAGGGGGGTAGGGGTGGTGGTGGCAGTAGTGGTGGTGACGGTAGTCCGCCTGCGGGGACTACCACTGGTGGGCAGGAGCAGCAGCCCCAGTCGCAGCAGGAGCAGCCCCAGCCGCAGCCGCCGCCCCAGTAGCAGTCACCGTCCCAGCACCAGTCGCCGCAACAGTGGGCCCGTCTCCCGCCTGGTTGGCCCGGCACCTCCGGAGGTAGTGGCCGTGGTGGCGGCCCGCGCAGCTTGGCGTCTACCGGCGGCTCTGGTGCTGTCACCTGCCAGTACCAGCTTCAGACCGGGCCTCTTCGCGGCACTCTGTGCCGCCGCCCTCACCCGACTGCCCGCTGTTTCCGCCGCCTCGACGATCTCTTTCGTCGTCGCTTTGGCCCGGCCCCGGACCTCCCCGACTGGCACAGCCTGCTCCGCCAGGGCGTGCCCATCTTTGAGTTAGACATGGATCAGCTAGGTGCTGCTTTGCATGCTTTGTATTCTAACGCTTCTAGTTTTGCTAGATCTTATTACCCTGTGTACTCTAGTTTAGGTGTTGCACCACTGTGTAGCTTAGCCTCCCCTGCTGCATCAGGCGTAGGACTGCCTAGGTTGCCTAGTCTAGTCGCTGCACCGGCTCCGTCCCCAGCCTCCGCCACTGCGTCGCTGTCCTTCACTCTCGACTCCGGTGCTTCTGCCTGCTTCTTCCGCGACCGTTCCACGCTCACGCCGCTTGCTGCACCTGCTGTTGTCTCTCTTGCTGACCCCTCTGTGGGTCCTGTCGTCGCGCGCAGTTCTACGTCCCTTCCCTGTCCGGCAGTTCCCTCGGGCTCCCTTACTGGCCTCCACGTTCCCTCGTTCTCAAGGAACCTGGTTGGTGTCGGCTGTCTCCAGGACCTCGGCGTCACCACCACGTTCCCCGGGCACGAGCGGTTCGCTGTCTGTTCTGAGGCTGTCTCAGGTTCCCCCCTTGCGACGTTCCCCCGGGAACCGGTGTCCGGTCTGTTTACCCTAGACACCGCTCCCCCCCGGTTGGTGCGTCCTCCCAGGTCGCTGCAGCTTGCTCGTGTCGGTCCCTCACTCACCCCTCCCTTCTCTGGCACCACCGCTTAGGTCACCCTGCTCTCCCGCGTCTGCGTCACATGTCCCAGCACGGTCTTGTCTTAGGTCTCCCCGCGTCGCTCCCTGCCCTTCCTCCCTCGACTGCGCCACCGTGCACGCCTTGCGTCGAGGGTCGGCTCCGCCGTGCTCCTCACTCCTCCTCGCTGCGTCCTGCTACTGCCCCCCTTCAGACCCTGCACCTGGACGTTTGGGGCCCTGCCCCCGTCCCCGGACCGCGCGGTGAGCGCTACTTCCTTGTGCTCGTCGACGACTACACGCGCTACACCACGGTGTTTCCCCTGGAGCGGAAGGCCGACGTGCCCGACGTTCTTCTCCCGTGGGTTGTGGCTGCGCGTCTCCACCGCGGTCTCCCCGTGTTGTGTCTCCACTCCGACCGTGGCGGCGAGTTCGCCTCTGGTCGGCTTGGACAGTTCTGTCGTGCGGAGGGCATCACCCAGTCGTACACCTTGCCGGACTCGCCACAGCAGAATGGGGTTGCTGAGCGCCGCATCGGCTTGGTCATGGAGGTCGCCCGTACCTCCATGATCCATGCCGATGCCCCCCATTTTCTGTGGCCGTTCGCTGTTCGCTACGCTGCTCACCAGCTTAACCTGTGGCCACGCTCCCAGCGGCCGCAGGTTTCGCCGACCCTCCTTTGGACCGGGTCCCCCGGTGACGCGTCTGCGTTCCACGTCTGGGGCTGCCTTGCTCACGTTCGTGCCTCTGGCACGGACAAGCTCACTGCCCGCACTGTCCCCTGTGTCTTCCTCGGTTTCCCCCTGGACTCGTCTGACTGGCTTTTCTACCACCCGCCGTCTCACCGCTTCCTCCACTCTCGTGACGTCACCTTTGACGAGTCCGTCTCCTTCTACCGCCGCTTCCCTCACCGAGGTCTCCCAGTTGCCCCCCCCCTGTTCCTTGCTCCCTCTCCCCCGGTAGCCCCTGCCCCTCTCCGCCTCGTCCTGCCCCGTCTGGTGTCTCTCACGTCACTCCCCTCCCGTCGGTTGTCCCCGTTGAGGAGTCTGCTGACTCTGGTGGTACCCCCGGTCCGTCCTTGCCGCGTCCCCCTTCCCCGGTGCCTCCGCCCCCACTGTCGCAGTCGCCGACCCCGCTGCCGCCGCCGTCGCCGTCGCTGCCGCAGCCGTCGCCGCTGTCGCCGCCGCCGCAGCCGTCGCGCCACTGCCGCCGCCGCTCTTGGCCCCTGGGGGTGCTGGTGTGGAGGAGGGTGTTCGTCCTGCGGCTTCTGGGGGTGCCGCTGGTGTTGGAGGGGGTTCTCGCTCTGGGGGTGTTGGTTCTGGGGGTGCTGCTGTTGAGTGTTCTGCCGACGGTCGTTCTGCCTCTGCTGGTCCGAGAGTTCCGGCCCAGCCGTCGTCGCCGCCGCAGCAGCCGTCGCCGCCGGTCTCCGCTCTCCGCCTGCTCGGCCTTCCCTCCCCGGACCGCGCGCCGGTGTCTCCCCCACCGCCTGCTGACCTTCCTGTCTACGGTCCTGTGTTCCCGCCGCCGGACTCGTCTCCGGCCCGTCTTCCTCCTCGTTCCCCTCCTGTGTCTCCTCCGCTGTCCCCTGACCCTACACCTCCGTCTCACGTTTGGGCTCGCCGTCCCTCCCGTGCTCGTCCCGTCTCTCCTGTCCTGCCCACCCACCCTATGTTGCTCCGTTCCCGCTCGTCTCGTCCTCCCCTCCTCCCGTCCCCTCCTCCCTCGTCCCTTGCTGTTGCACCTCCTCCGTTCTCTGACTACCTCCGTGCTGCTCGTCCCCTTGTCCCTCGGGTCCTTGCCTCTCTTGTTACCGACCCTGCTGTTCCTGTCTCGCGCCTTGACGCGCTTGTCGCTGCTGTCGCTGACTTCGCCTCTACCCGCCGCCTTGACTACGCTACCGCTCTGGTCTCTGACCCTGCCCGTCCTCCGTCCGTCGGGGGTGCTCCTGCCCTTGGCAGTGACGTCCTAGAGGACAGCCAGTACGAGCTTGCTTTCCTTTCCGAGGCTGCTCCCCATCTCTGCTCCATGCTGTTAGTCCCTGAGGGTGACCCAGACGCCTTCGACATCCCGACCCCTCGCACCTACGCTGAGGCCACCTCGGGACCTTGGGCCTCTCAGTGGATAGCTGCCATGGAGCAGGAGATGGCATCTTGGAGGTCCACCGGCACTTACGTCGACGCAGTTCCCCCGCCTGGGGTGAACGTAGTCGATGGTCGGTGGCTCTTCAAGGTGAAGCGCCCCCCTGGAGAGCCGCCTGTCTTCAAGGCGCGCTACGTGGCCAGAGGTTTCAGTCAGCGCGAGGGGGTTGACTTCTTCCAGACCTTCGCCCCGACCCCGAAGATGACCACTCTTCGGGCGCTGCTACACGTAGCAGCACAGCGTGACTACGAGCTTCACTCCCTCGACTTCTCTACTGCCTTTCTTCAGGGCAGCCTACACGAGCAGGTCTACCTGCGCCGACCACAGGGCTTCACTGGTACCTTCCCTCCTGGGACCCAGTGGCTTCTCAGGCGCCCGGTCTACGGCCTGCGTCAGGCTCCCCGCGAGTGGCACGACACGCTACGTGCCACGTTAGCAGACCTGCAGTTCTTTCCGTCCTCTGCTGACCCTTCACTGTTTGTGCGTTCCGGCCAGACTCCGTTCTACATCCTTGTCTACGTAGACGACCTGGTCTTCGCTACTCCTGACAGGGACGCACTGGCCTCTGTGAAGGCTGAGCTGCTGAAGAGACACACCTGCACTGACCTTGGAGAGCTGCGTCGCTATCTTGGCCTGCAGATCTCTAGGGACAGAGCAGCACGCACCATCACTCTGACCCAGTCACACTTGGTGCGTCAGGTCCTTCAGAGGTTCGGTCTTCAGTTCTCCTCCGCACAGCCCACACCTCTACCCGTAGACCATGGGCTCTCTGCTCCCGTTCCTGAGGAGCCAGTAGAGCCCAGTGGCCCCTACGCAGAGCTGGTGGGTTGCCTCATGTACCTGATGACTTGCACTCGCCCAGATCTCGCATACCCTCTCAGCATCCTGGCTCGCTTTGTGGCTACAGGCAGACACCGACCTCAGCACTGGTCTGCCGCTAAGAGGGTTTTGCGTTATCTTGCTAGTACATCAGGCATGGGGTTAGTGCTAGGAGGACGCAGGCCAGTGGTCCTTACTGGGCACACAGACGCTTCTTGGGCAGACGACGCTGAGACGCTCAGGTCGTCGCAGGGCTACTGTTTCAGCCTTGGTTCGGGTGCTATCTCTTGGAGATCCACTCGCTCGTCGTCTGTGGCTCAGTCTAGCTGTGAGGCTGAGATCTACGCTGGTGCCATGGCGGCACAGGAGCTCCGCTGGCTGACCTTCTTGCTCACAGACTTAGGTGAGCGGCCTAGCTCTGCCCCGGTCCTGTACGCTGACAACAGGGCCATGATACTCCTGTGTCAGGAGCCTCGGCTTGAGGGCAGAGCGAAGCATATCCAGCTGCGGTACTTCCTCCTGCGCGAGCTACAGCAGCGCCGCCAGGCCCGCGTAGTTCACTTGGCCTCAGGTGCCAACACAGCTGATATCTTTACTAAGGCGCTTGCGCCTAAAGATCATCAGCGGCACTGTGTACAGCTTGGTCTAGTTCCTGTAGCTGCTCCCCTGTTAGGATCCTGATTGTGTACTCTCTATTATATATGCTTGTCAGACTGGCCTTGTGGCCTTACCTCCAGTGGCTGGACTAGTAGTGCCACCCTGGCTTGCTTCAGTTTTGGTTGTATTCTTGCTGACTGGTCGCCAGACCCTGCCTCAGTGGTTGGACTAGTAGTGCCGCCCTGAGCTGTTTGCTTCTTGTTTAGTTTCACCCCTTGTCTAGCCTAGGGGGTGTGTCAACTTATACATATTATCTATGTAGAAGTTATAGGCTAGACTGAGGTATGCTTCTAGTGAGTACAACCAACTAGTATTTGTTCTAGGTTTCCACTTCTAGTCATTATTCGTTCTCACTTTAACAGGTTTAGCTAGGAGAGGAAGTTGACGAGAGAAAAGAGAGAGAATAGAAGAGAGAGGGCTACAAGGAGCGGGGTTGTACCCTCTACAGTAGGTTTCAGTAACACCTACCAAGCCTACCAATTATATATCAAAGATATAATTTAACAAAACAAGCCAGACCGAGGGTCCCCAAATTTTGTTGTTGTGAGGGGTGTGTGGAGGAATATCTCTTGTGTAGGGCACTTAGCCAGAAAAACTAGACATTCTAGGGGTGTGGAGGCCCTGCTCTGAACTTTCAGACGAAGTCTTATGGCTTATCTGGTCGATAAGACGAATTAATTTAGCCTGTCAAAAAATAATATGCATGGAAAAAAACAGGTCTGATTTTCAGACCATCAGACCGATTTCGTATGATATCTGTGACCCTGGTCATGACTCATGGCCATGTAGCACACAAAATCGCAGATCAGCAGATCAACTTGGGAGTAGGGAAGGAGTGGAGCGGAGGGGAAGAAAATTAGGTGCTCAACCGCCAGTGTCCACAGTGACCTGCAAAAGACCGCACGTGAGCACGTGTGAGCAGGTGTGGAAGCTGCTTCTACACATTCACAGTACTGTTTGCAAACCTGTATGCAACCACCACCCTACTGCTGCATACCACATTGTGGTGTGGAGCTCCTCCAAGCCTTTCTGCCCCCCGTGCTGCTGTTGGCGGTGCTGTTGGTGCTGCCGCTACTGCTGCTAGTTGTGCTGCCGCTGCTGCTGCTAGTTATGCTGCCGCTGCTGCTGCTGCTGGGGAAAACAGTGTAATCTGAGCTCGGTAGAGTTAGGTTGGGGAAGACTTATTATCGGGGTGGGGTTAGGGTTAGGTAGGGATGGGCGTATTTATTTGGATGTGGGTTGACTTGGCTTGGGGCGGATTAATCTACAAAAGCGGCATTTCAAACGGTACCGTTGTGCCCTTAATTAGGAACATGTGGGCTGCGGATGAATAAATCTGAATCATTTCTGGAGAGAGAGGGGAGGAGGATGGTGTTGAGCCTTGAGAGAAGAGAGGTGGGCTGCAGGCTTGCTGGCGATCTAATCTGATCCAGCCTTGGAGAGGAAGGAGAGAACCGCGCTGTTGAACCGTGCGGCTTGGTGTACCTTTGGAGCAGGGCATGGGGCGGGGTTGGGAGAGGACATGGGAGGACATGGGAGGACATGGGAGGACATGGAAGGACATGGGCATGGGACGGGGTTGAGATAGGACGGGGTCAACATGGGAGATTGCAGGAGGGTGCGCCAATGGACTGGAGGAAGCTGGAGCAGGGAAGACGTGTAATAAAAAAACCCTTTTTCTCTCATTTAATCCGAGAGAATCACATGCACAGCCAAGCACACAACCTCTGCGTGTCAGTGCGTCACGTGGCCACATGAATGCATGAATGGCACTGCACGAATGGCACTGCATGAATGGCAATGCACGAATGGCAATGCACGAATGGCAATACGTGAATGGCAATGCATGAATGGCAATGCATGAATGGCAATGCATGAATGGCAATGCATGAATGGCACTGCATGAATGGCAATGCACGAATGGCACTGCATGAATGGCAATGCATGAATGGCAATGCATGAATGGCAATGCATGAATGGCAATGCATGAATGGCAATGCACGAATGGCAATGCATGAATGGCAATGCATGAATGGCACTGCATGAATGGCAATGCATGAATGGCAATGCATGAATGGCAATGCATGAATGGCAATGCACGAATGGCAATGCATGAATGGCAATGCATGAATGGCACTGCATGAATGGCAATGCATGAATGGCAATGCATGAATGGCAATGCATGAATGGCAATGCATGAATGGCAATGCATGAATGGCAATGCATGAATGGCAATGCATGAATGGCAATGCATGAATGGCACTGCATGAATGGCAATGCACGAATGGCACTGCATGAATGGCAATGCATGAATGGCAATGCATGAATGGCAATGCATGAATGGCAATGCATGAATGGCAATGCACGAATGGCAATGCATGAATGGCAATGCATGAATGGCACTGCATGAATGGCAATGCATGAATGGCAATGCACGAATGGCAATGCATGAATGGCAATGCATGAATGGCACTGCATGAATGGCAATGCATGAATGGCAATGCACGAATGGCAATGCATGAATGGCAATGCATGAATGGCACTGCATGAATGGCAATGCATGAATGGCAATGCATGAATGGCAATGCATGAATGGCAATGCATGAATGGCAATGCATGAATGGTAATGCATGAATGGCAATGCATACACATGGCCACATGAATGCAATTAGACAGCACACACCTGAATGGCATGTGCACCCTTCTCAATCACCTCCAGGCGACAGCTCGAGCCAAAGTGCCTGAGGGGGCAGGTGGTGGTGGGGAGGTGGGGAGTGATAGGATGGAGACAGGGAGAGAGGAGTGGGAGAGATAAGGGGCGAAACAGAGAGGGGGAACTGGCAAAGGAAGCAGGAAAAGGCAAAGGTGAAAATTTTTGCACCGCCTGGGAAGGCATGGGAATGCATGTGTCGCCTATGAGCCTTGTGTGTGCGTGTGTGCACGAATATAAGCCTTTTGTGCATGCACGCGTGGAGGTATATTTTGATTCAACGGGTAGCATGATCGTTTCACCAACTAAGACAGCGTGGGAATGTGTGCGTGAGGACGCATGGCTTTAAATTCGACTCAAGCGAGGAGTGAGAGAGCTAAGGGGCGAAACAGGGGAGGTTATGTGGGAAAGGGCGCAAGAAAAAACCAAGGGAACACGGTCCTCGCACTGCCTGGGAAGGGGCAGGGAAGCATGTGCACGGTGCACGCATGCGAACGTGTGGTGCTTGCGTGGGGGAGGAAGGCGTGAGGGATGGGGACAGGGCGGGAGGGGCAAAGAGAGGTTTACGGGTGCTTCCCTGCCCCTTCCAGGCAGGGAAACCTCTCTTTGTCATATGCACGACAAGCGATGGCGAGAGGGAGGAGCTGGTTAACATTTACTCGCCTAAACAAGTGTGGGAGAGGTAGAGAGGGGCTCATGCTGCATGCGGTAAGCTGGTATTTGAGAACCAACTTACCTCATGTGGACTCCCATATGCTCGCTTTTTACTCGCTTGGAAGTTACCAGAAGAAATAGAGAGGGGCTCACTGCTGCATGCGATGCGCGATGGCGAGAGGGAAGAGCTGGTCGCTGCCGCCCCACACAAGTAGGGTTCCCTGTGGCGGGAGGAGACCGGAAGGGAGGGCGCAGAGAGGGAGGTGACCGAGAGGGAGGAGACCGAGAGGGAGGAGACTGAGAAGGAGGGAGGGGTGGCGGGAACTGACAGACTGAGCGATAATGAGAGGGAAGTGCTGGTCGCTGCCGCCCCACACAAGCAGGGTGTGCTGTGATTTGATGGTAGGGGGGTCTAAAGATAGAGGAGGGCAACAGGATGGTGTTTCCATGGGCACGTGAAATCATCTCGTCGCATGGCATGGCATGGGAATGTATGCTGCTACATGAAACTTGATTATTTCACGTGCTCATGGTGTTTCCATGCACACACCATGCACACACCATGCGCACACCATGCGCACACCATGCGCACACCATGCGCACACCATGCACACACCATGCACACACCATGCACACACCATGCACACACCATGCACACACCATGCACACACCATGCACACACCATGCACACACCATGCACACACCACGCACACACTCTGCACACACTCTGCACACACCATGCACACACTCTGCACACGCCATGCACACATCATGCACACATCATGCACACACCATGCACACATCATGCACGCATTACGCACGCGTACCATTGAAGGCACACCAATGCTGCCAGTTTCCTCTGCGTTCGCCTCTGCTGCCCTCGACGCGACTCCTCCAGCAGCCCTGCGTTCTCCAAACTGCCTGCACACACCATCTCTTACCATCTCTTACCGTCTCTTACCATCTCTTACCATCTCTTACCATCTCTTACCATGTGTGGCACAGCAATGCTCCCCGGGTCCTCTGCATTCGCCTCGGCTGCTTTCAGCGATTCCTCCAGCAGCCCTGCCTTCTCCGCCCGGTTCTCAAACAGCACCTGCCACGTCACCAACAAGCAAAACCACGTCATCCAGAGAATCAAAGCCACGTCACCTACATGCTCAAGCGCTACCAGCGTTTTCCCCCATGCAGCCCTTTCCGCACCTCAACCACTGACTCTTAAAGCACTCTCCTGTGCAGCCCAGCCCTCCCCGCACCCCAATCTTTGACTCTTAAATCCCCACAGCGGTACCTCAATCTTTGACTCTTAAAGCCACACAAGGGTACCTCAACCTTTGACTCTTAAAGCCACACAAGGGTACCTCAACCTTTGCCTCTTAAAGCCACACAAGGGTACCTCAACCTTTGACTCTTAAAGCCACACAGCAGCAGTACCTCTAGGGCGTCCTGCAGCAGCCAGTCTGGGAGGTACGGCGCCTCGTTGTTGCCAAGCCTGATCAGCCGGAGCAAGCCACGAGGCTCGGCAGGCAGGAAGAGGTCCGTGGGTGTGTCCGCATGCCACTGCCGCAGCACCCCCTGCACCTCCCCTTTGGTTAGCATGAGCCCCGCTCCACCCAGGACAAGCTTGGTCACTCGTGCGGGACACAGTGTGGCCATTCTGGGGAGAGGGGAAGGGAAGGGATGGGAGGTGAAGGGGGGGGGAGAGTGGGGGAGGGGAGGTGGGAGAGGTGAGAGAGAAAAACATCAGGGGGGTTTGTGTCCGCATGCCTGGGGGTTGGGAGGTTGGAGTTGTGTCTGAATGACACTGTCGCAGCACCCCAAAGGGACCGGGAAATGGATGGGGGAAAGGGAGACTGGCGGGGGAGAGCAGGGAAGAAAGTGGCCATCCTGGGGCTGGTTGAGAATCGCCGTGGCTGGTCATATGAAAGTGCTACCCCAGTCTATTTTTGAGGCGCCTCAAAAATAGACTCATCATGCATGGTTGAGAACCGCCGCGGCTGGTCATATGAAAGCACCACCGCAGTCGCGCCAGAGATGCGAGGAACAGGTCACCGCAGAGAGTATTGTGGCCACCCTGCCGTATTGCAAAGTGGCGTCAAGCCAGGTTCGCAAGTTCCTTTCTGAGCGACGATCCCCGTAACTCACGCCAACACCGCGCACCATTCGACGCGCAGCTCGCCCATCAGCCCACTGCAAACCCACAAATACCCCCCTTACCCCCCCTTTTCATCCCCAACCAACCGAATTCCAAAGTTCAGGCAGTAATCCGCCAAGTACTGCCTGAAGCCGCGTGCTCGCTCAGCGTCCATCAGCCCACTTCAAACCCAGAAGTGTCCCCCTTACCCCCTTTACCCCCCAGGCTGGCCCCGCTACCTTGCTTTGTGAGCGATAATCCCCCCGTAACTGACGCCGAACGACCACCGCGCCCGTTCCATGCCTAGCTGTTCAGCGCGTTTAACGCTTCCCCCTGGAACCGCCGCTCACCGCACCGAACCGCACCGTACCGCAGTGGGGCATCGCAACTTACTTGTGAGCGATAATCCCGCCGTAACTCACGCCCACTACCGCGCACCGTTCGACGCGCAGCTGGTCCATCAGCGCCATCATCGCCTCCGCCTGGAAGCGCTCGTCGCGCCGCGAGCTGCGGGAGAACGAGCCGCGGAAGAACAGGAGGTCGGGAATATAGAGGTCGAAATGGCGGGAAAACGCGGGAGCTGATTGATCCAGTGGTTTAGCGACGACGCGCCGAACCCGTGCAGGAGCAGTAGAGGCGGTTTAGCGGGAACTGCGGCGGGATTCGCGGCGAGATTCGCGGCGGGATTCGCGGCGCCAGATGCGGCGGGTTTGTCGCCGCGAGATGCGGGGACCCAGCAGGAGACGAGCGTGAGATTGTCGACGTGGAATTGGTCGAGGCGGAGGCCGTACGCGTTATAGACGAGCGCGAAACAGGACTCCTGAATCTCGGTGATACTGGGCAGCAGGCGAGGGGGAAGGGCCGCGGAGGAGAGCAGACAGGAGGGGAGAACCGCCATGGCTCTCACCCCGAGCTGTCACCCGTACTGTAACCCCAGCTGTAACCCGAGCTGTAACCTGAGCTGTAACCCGAACTGTAACCCAGGCTGTAACTCTCATCACAGGCTTTGATACCCAAGCATTACTGCTGCGGCTAGCAGCTGGTCGCAGGCTGACATCGCTAACGCTTCCCACGCAGACGGGCCTGTCTGTTTGAGTCGAGACAATGGCCACGCGGCGGTACTATGAACGTTCTGCGCTCGTGACGCGGACGCGACGGAGGGTGCGAGGCAGAAGGCGTGGGGGATTAAGTGGAGCAGGGGAGGAGGAGCGATGGTAGAGGCGAGACGGAAGCGTGACGGGTTGCTCGCGGGAGGAATCGAGGGCGAGAATTAGTCTATTTTCGCCTCGGAGGCGCCTCAAAAGTGGCTTGAGGGCGAGAATGAGAAGTTCAGCCACTGGCTGTCGTGACCCTCCTGCACTCCCTGCTAGTCACGCTTGCCTCGCGCAGGCGAATGAGCAGAATACAATTTGGTATGTGCTACAGTAGCGAGCGGCCGTTCTTACGCGGCTTTCCCGTTCTACACGCAGTTGTAGATCCACGCCAACCGCAGTCAAGAGTCGCCACAGCATTCTTCGCCCCGAAGTCACCCGCAGCCGCACATTCCCAAACTCACACCATGGAACCATCAACCCAATGAAGGTGATGTGCAAGCATCACCGAACCATATCTCCTAAAAAAACTTATTAAACCGTATAGCACCGTTTATGACCGTGTTGCTGGTTGGTGAAGCCATCTTTCCAGGTGTGGAAAGCCGAAGCAGACGGGCAAACGAGCGGACATACCGATCGGTTCGGACCGATCAGAATCCCCTTGACCAAGCCGGCCGACGACGGACCGCGCAGTACACAACTGCTGACACACGAATTCCCACCTAACCGCTTGTTGCGTTGTAGTGTAAGTATACGTGATACAGAAGCTAAAATCCAACGTCTCACGAAGTTCTCAAATCTATATGGGATACTACATATTCCCAAAGCCCAGCTATTGGGTCACATCAGATCTCATCCCCCCCATTTCTAAAACCAAAATCAATTACAGAAACACAGCACAAACTACAGAATGCATCAACATAAGAACTAACCGCCTCAGTAGCTGTTGGGCTGACAATAGCCATAGGATCTTTTCAGAATGCTAAGTCCTTGTAATAGAGTGCTTGATAGCACAGCGGAAGTCTTAGAGTTAAACCCTTGTACTGATATATGAGAACAAATGATTAATTATAGCATAGGAATACAAGACTTATATAGTAACATAAGAGGATATGTAGAGTCTAACTGTTTGTGCACTTCGAAGGGTACATTCTATCAGAGTAGCGGAATGACTAGAAAACAGGGTACAAGGTGGTTTTGACCTAAATTGTTGTACTCGCTAAGGCATGCCCCTATCTAGTCTACAGCAACATATACAAATATGTTTGACACACCCCCTAGACTGGACAAGTGCAGTGCCTGGAAAAGACAAACAACTCAGAGCGGCACTACTAGTCCAACCTATGAGACTAGGGTCCGAAGACCAGTCAACAAGAGTGCAAAAACGACAAGATAAAGCCAAGGAGATACTACTAGTCCGGCCACTGGAGAGAAACCACAAGGCCAATCAAGAAGGAATATATATAAGAGGAGTACACAATCAATATCCTAGCAAGTGAGGAGCTACAGGAACTAGACCAAGCTACAAACAGTGCCGCTGACAATCTTTAGGCGCAAGTGCCTTAGTAAAGATATCAGCTGTGTTGGGACCGGAGGCCAAGTGTACTACGCGGGCCTGACGGCGCTGCTGTAGCTCGCGCAGGAGGAAGTACCGCCGCTGGATGTGCTTCACTCTGCCCTCCAGTCGAGGCTCCTGATACAGGAGAATCATGACCCTGTTTTCAGCGTACAGGACCGGGAGAGCAGGGCCGCTCACCTAAGTCAGCAAGCAATAAGGTCAGCCAGCGGAGCTCCTGTGCCGCCATGGCACCGGCGTAGATCTCAACCTCACTGTTAGACTGGGCAACAGACGAGGAGCGAGTGTGTCACAGGAGCGAATGTCCCGAGGAAAGGTTTGCTCAATGTTGCCCTATCAATCAATACAAGGTGCTTTTATACTTCCAAGATACATCAGGTAACCAGGTTTATCCTATCCAAAGGGAATAGACCCTTCTAGAAATAGAATCACCATGCGTATAGCCACGCGAGGCAATTGGCTTTAAGGGATTACGGCAGGATTACGCTAGATATAGCGCGCCAGTACATCCCGAGCCTGGTCGGTGATATAATTATAATAACAGGATAAACCAAAGGATAATAGAAAATGAGGAATAGGAAACCAAATGAGATGAGATAAAGACCAAATGAATGAGGATAAAAGAGGAATGAAATAGAAAGGAAATATGAAAAGGGAAATTAGTGTAACGGGATCGTACTCTCACACTTCCCCCCCTCAAAGCTGGGTGGTAGAAGTAACACCCTGCTTGACAAGGTAGTCGCGAAGAGGACGACGGGCGTTACCCATGTCGAGTTCAGAGACGCAACCTTAGAAGTATCAGAATCCTTCCAACAAAGAAGAAGCTCCAGAGTGCCATTCTGACGACGACGGTGTCCGAGCACGTAGTTGTCCCATGGTGTGGATGAACACGGGCGGCGACGGTGGTTGGCATTCGGTGTAGAGCGTGTTTGGTCTTGATAGGGTTTAAGAAGCTGGTATGGAAGGCGTTATGGATCTTCCAAGTGGCTGGTACGCGGAAGCGGAAGGTGAATGAAGTAACCTTTGCTTCAAAGAGGATAGTCCTGCAGAAGCAAGGTTGAAGCTTGGATGGAAGTTGGCTGATGTCAAGATTATGGTCTCGAGAAGGGTAGTGATGAGTTGCCAAGTGCTTGTGCTGATGTTGGATGTCCAAGAGGGCGCTTGTGTGGTCGATGTACAAGATGGTGGACGATGGCGATGAAATCGGAAGCCAGTCGGACTGTGGCTGATATGGTTAGCTGTTGTGGTGTGATCGGGTGGCGTCCGTAACAGAGGAAGTACAGCGTCTGTCCAGTGGCGGCGTCAGGAGCATAATTGTAGGCAAACTCCAGGACGGGCAGATGCAAGTCGGAGTTGGAGATGTGAATGGTTGGAACAGTGTGCTGTAACATGCAGATGAGTGGCTATGTTGTCCGATCTGTGCATGCTGTTACCCGCATCTGGTCCACGTGTGAAGATCACCAAGTGTTGGTGGTATGGCAGTTGTGTCGTAGTACTGCTTTGTAGCAGTGTTGTATCCGTTACATGCAGCTTCTGTCGAATGCAGGTCCATGCCTTGGTGTTGTCGCGAGTCGTACCCATTCGGCATCGTCGTGCTGCGGAATGGAGAGCAGAATCACTTGTAGTAACCCTGTCCACCACGCGGTC